TTTTTTTTTTTTTTTTAAATCACATGTACCATAGTAATTTGCAAATGCCAAAAAAGTTTTTATCACTTAAAAAAAACAACAGTTAAGTTGCCAAATCTCTGCTATTTGGATATTGCCTAACTAATTATAGTTCAGAAACAATATCTAGATATCAGCAGTGCCTGAAAGTTACATGAAAGAGTTGCTGTCACTTTTTGAGGAAAAAGTTCAAGCACCCTTTGCAGTTTTTGGGAAGAAGTACATTTAAGGAATATGGCTGTGGACTGGATTCAAGAACCATAGGTGCTTCCAGCTCTGTCTACCATTTACCTCGTGTATGACATTCTGTAAATCACCTCATCTCACCTTTCCTTTCCCAACTTGTCTCGTCTCATTATATTGTAGGTTATATGTATTTTAGTCTACACAGAACCTGCCACAACAGGATCCTCTAATAAACAATTGTGGCTAACTGTCACATGTCAGAAAAGTGTTGATGTAGTTCAGCAAGTTAATACCACTGGAGTTGGTAGCCAGAGAACAGCACTTTTTCAGCTCTTAAGCATCACACATATAACTCATTTCATCCTTCATATCTGTGTGAACCTTATTTGGCTATTGAGTACCAAATCACAATGCTAGTTCCATCCATGAACTGGGGAGATGAGCTTAAGTCATCATTCAAAACCTACCTCTGAATAGAGGATTTTTTCTGAGTCAGTATTTTGTTAATTTCTTTGTCCAACCCAGTTTGAAGGGTAAGGCTAGGATCCAGAGTGACCTGGAGAAATGCTTTGAAATCAATCACATGAAATTCAGCAAGGACACATGCCAAGTCCTGCACTTGGAACGGAATAATTGCACGCACAAGTACAGGCTGAGAAATGACTGGCTAGGTTGCAGTACTGCAGAGGTGGACCTGGGAGTTGCACTGGACCCTAAGCTGAATATTAGCTGTGCTCTTGTTGCAAAAATAAATAAAAAGCCAATAGCATACTGGATGGTACTAACAGGATTGTCACTTGCAAATCAAGGGAACTGATTTTTCAGCTGTATTCAGCACTGGAAAGGCATCATCTGGAATACTGTTTCCAGTTTTGGGCCCCACACTTCAAGAAGGATGTGAATGAGTTAGAAATAGTCCAGGGGAGAGCAACAAAAATGACTCTGGCCTAGAAAACATGACTTATGAGGACAGGCTGAAAGAACTAGGATAGTTTAGTCTAGAGAAGAGAAGACTGAGGGGGATTTCATAAGTCTTCAAATACCTGAAGGATGATTAAAGAGAGGACAGAGATAGACTATTCTCTGTGGTCATAAGGGACAGGACTAGGAGTAATGTTCTCAAGCTGCAGCAGAGGAAATTTAGGTTGGAGAGTGGGAAGAACTTTTAGACTATGAAGGTGGTTAAGCATTGGAACAGACTGCCTAAAGAAGTTGTGGAATCTCTGTCTTTTGACATTTTCAAGATCAGGTTGAACAGACACTTGACTGCATGATTTAGTTAGGGGTGATTTTGTTTGGAGCAGGGGGCTGGACTTGACCTCCTGAGGTCTTTTCCCAGCCCTTCTTTTCAGTGTTCCTATGAAATCTCTCATGTTGAAGCTTTACTGCATCTCTTAGGAGAGTTTTTCCACAGTATAAAATCTTTAGGTGTTACTCAGTTTCATTACCCCATTCCTATATATATCACCTTTGACTGTCCCTAAACAATTCCTCTTCATAATAATGACAGAATTAAATATGTATACCTTCTCATATCCTCACTTAGTGCTAAGACAACCTAGCAGTACCTCTTTCTTGATTTGACAAAATGAAAGATGAAGATGCAAGACAGACAAGAATATATATAAATAAGAGGCAAATGCACTGTTTTTTCTTATTTAACAATCTCTTATTTATTTTCTACTATTTTTCCTTTTTGGTGACAATCTCTGTCTTTTTTTTTTTGTGGGGGGGCCACAGAAATCTAATTGCCTTTTCAGAGGAGGGATCAGACCCCTATGTACGATTGTACTTACTGCCTGACAAGAGAAGATCGGGAAGACGAAAAACGCATGTATCAAAGAAGACATTAAATCCAGTGTTCGATCAAACGTATGTTAAAAGTTTCCATTTACTAGTATTGCATTATGTAATATATAAAACTATTAAACTTCCAATGCATAAACTTGGGATAGGCGGGCAATTTTCAAATGAGATGGCAAGTTGTAATCTCTTTACTCTGTATTACAAAATTTACAGAATTTGGCCTGCTTGTTTCTCTATTGGAAGAGTTTTGCCAGTAGGATCTGATGGAAACAGGAGTGTAGATGTGGCATATGATACCTAATGCCCTATTCAAGGAAGCAAAAGCTTTCAGAAATGTGCCTTGCTGCTAGCCAGCTTATCTCCAGTAATATTAAGATTGGCAACTCTAGGTGGGTGGTAACTGTGGTCTTCGAAGCAGTGTCATCTATTCGTGCCAAGAGGAATTCCAGTTAACATATTTGTTGAAGTATTTGCAGCAGTTTAGTGAAGTGTTTTCAAGGAGAGCTTCCAATATTCATAATATCTGTAGAGTCGAACCAGTGTTGCTAACAGCCTCCTAATGTAGGCAGCATCTGATGGTTTTAATTAGATTATGGGCCCCAGTTTTACAAAGGTGTTAGAAACTTCTGGAACCTCTGTAAATATGGGCATTGGTATAAATGAATATTAATTTTATCTAAAACTTCTTCTGTGTACTGTCAGTTTGAATTTCTCATTTGACTTAACTAGAACTGTAAACAATTTAATTGCGTATTCTGGCTTTTTTGATGACTGACAAAAGTGCTTTTTAAGTGATTTTTGTGTTAAAATGGATACATATTTAAAACAAACTTTTTGAGAATATAGCTGTTTTGAGAACTTTTTAACAACATAGGAAACTTTTTGAGAACAATCGTTTTGAGAATATAGGAATAGCATAACAAGCTGTTCCTATATATTGCATCTAGATAGAATGCTTTGCAGACTTACAAATAAAATAATACTATAAATGTGCTTCCAGTTCAGTAAACGGAGAGGAGTGATGGACTTGTATACTTGTATATCAACTGTAAGTGGTAGTGCAATGAAGAATTTCAGGCAACAACAGACTGAATCCTAAAAGCCCCTGGAGATATTGTGATTGAGATGCACCATTAACTTGTGCTGTTGCCTACCTTCACGTGTGGCTGCATTTGACATCCCAGCTTGAAAACCAACTGGGCATAAGCAGTCTTCAGTGCCGACAAGGCTTGAACACGCATCTCTGGAGCCATAGCAAAATGTCTTAACCATTCTATGACTATGCCTCATCCCAGATATCACCACTTATGACTGGTGGGAGATGCACATCTTTAAACCTATAAACAGTAAATCGTGAAAAGACAAAGAAAATTTAGGTTACATGTGGGCTCCGTGAGAAGTATGGGTAGCTCTAGGCTGAGGATATTCAAAAGCACCTTTTCTTCTATTTTCAGTCTACGAGAAAATGAACATAATTGTTAATACAACAGTTCTGAGGTGAAAGAGCCTTGCAAAATGATGCGGTTTTTGCAAGGTTTCATTTTCTATTCTGCTGTGTAATACTTCTGACTTTATAGCGGCAATGTGGAAACCAAGTCTTCCCTCCTTAGTGCTGTCCTTGACAAAGTGCCCCAGGTGGTATTCTGCATACAAGTGACCTTCTTCTGGTGACTTGAGTCTTAGTAGCTCAGCCCTCAGGAGGGTTTGTTACCACAGAGGGAAATGCTGGGTGTCTGCCATTGCCTACAGCCAGTTCAGGAGGCCATATGTCCCATTGCAGGCAGAGCGGGTATAGTGGCAGAGGAGGATGGACATCTGGTCTCCCTATGATATGTTAGCAAAAGGGGTTGAAATGACTCTACTAGAGCCCTGATTTTACAGATAAACAAGGAAAACATAATTAGTACCTGTACATGAGCGCAGACTGCTCTAATGCACTGTAATTACAGTGTGTTGAAGCAGACTTGATTAATTAAATCTGCTCGAGCGTGGTAATTATCACACTCCAGCAGCTTCCTGCATCTCGTATATTAGCATCCCCATGCTTAAAAATGGCATTGGGGGCGCTTGAGCTAAAGCTCATTGAACATTCGATGAGTTTGAGTTCAAGCGCCCCCACCACCATTTTCAAGTGTGGGTTTACTATTACACAAGACGCTGTGGTGCTTTAAAAGCACCACCCCTCCCTTGCCCCCAGAGCACATGTAAAAGTGCCCAATAGGCTGATTTTATAATACGTTTGATTTCCATGAGACCCACATCTTTATCCTCCTTACCACAGGTGACATTTGAGTTCTCTTGCCTGAGAGGGCAAAGTAGCAAATCAGAAGTTGGCATTACAGTGAAAAATTTGTAAATGTACCTGTATGGCCATTATAGGACAGATTCTGCCCCCACTCTCCATTAGTACAGATGGTTCCAGAAGCAGAGGGAAAATTTGCATTCTTCTGTGCAATATGGCAGGATTTGAGAATCTCTGTGGAGATATTGTATGTGCACTACCATGGATGAGAGAAGGACAGATCTGCTGGTAGCACTACCAAGTCCTGATAACAAAATGTTTAACAGTGCCTCAACCTAGAGAATAGAAGTCTATTTTTTTATTTGCCCCAGAAAGCCAGTCCGTGATCCATTTATTAGCAGTGGATTCTCGGAAAATGGTCTGGGACAGCATCACACAATTCCAAACATTTTAATTGAGCATCAAAGTATTGGGATTATCTTCTCTCTTCTACCACATGCCCATTTGTGTGCTTTTATTTTGGGATGTTTAAAAAAAGGTTTCTAGGAATAGGTCAGCAGTGGGTGTTTATTAGTAGAAACTGAACTAGGAAAGTCCAGATTTTGCACATTTCAGGTACCAAATTCTATCTATATTGATATTTTTCATGTTAGCTTCGATTTCAGTGTTTCCTTTCCTGAAGTACAGAGGAGAACGCTAGATGTAGCTGTGAAAAACAGTGGTGGTTTCTTGTCCAAAGACAAAGGGCTGCTTGGCAAGGTAAGTTGAAGACAAGCAGATAAATGTTATTGCACTTCTAATAAAATTCTCCATGGACCTGAGCTTGCTCTTGTTGACTCCAGTAAGTAACCCAGTTGAGACTTATCATTTTGTTAAAACAGTGACATTGAGAAAAGGAGCAAATTGCTGGAGATGGCGGGAGTTGTGAAGGAAATAAAAGAATAGACACCAAATAATCAGATGGATAATATATGCTACTGCTGAACCACATGCTAAGAAGAGCAAAAACTGAAGTGCTCTGGAAGACTGACTTTTCAGTTATTTAATCAGATAAGAAAGAGTAGAACCTGGGTCAAATCCCAGAATATACTTTCCCATAATTATAATCCCTGGGATCTAGCCACTTAACTTTTAAGGGCTATTTCTGCAAATACTGCCACAGAAGCAATTGTTAGGCAGATTTTCTTTGCAGAGAAAGGAAGAGCCAAGTGAAGGCATTTATCAAAGTGCCCACAACAAATTCTCACTTAATCAAAATATCCTTCCTTACAGTTAAACGAGGGGGCTTTTAGCACAGCTACCTCAGCTGATTGCAGCTGCATTTACTTATGGCATTACATTATCATTTAAAACGAACAACTTTAGTCTTCTCCAGAAATTGCATTACAGCATAAATGTAAGATGCTTTCTACTGCCAATGTTGCATACCATGTAGTCTACAACATTGTCAGGCTTTGACCTCTAAGAACAATGTTTAGACTTAGGTTGCATACAAACATGCATTTCTACCACAAGAATTTATTCTGGTAGAAGAATAACTAGAAGAATTTCTTCTGGTACAAAAACAACCTGGGAGCTAGACTGTACAGACATTCTTCCAGCCCCGTGGCTGGAGAGCTTCATAGCCAGGGGGCACTAGAGGGCTGTTCTCCAAGTAACTCCTGACTTCAGGGGAGCCCATTGACAGCCTATCCTGTCCCTTGCCTGGGAAGGAAGCCAGCTGTCAAATGGCTGTAGGAAGCTGCTGAAAAGCAGCAGCTGCCACTGATAATCACCAGGAGTTCCCACCCCAGAAGTATGCCCCCTATTCTTCACCCCAATCCTGTCAATCAGCTGATTGAAAGAAAGTGGCCGTTCTGTGGTGGGAACCCTTCTGGTTCTCCCTTGCAGGACAACAGCCCCAGTTCCTTGCAGTCCTCCAGATTGACCCAGACATAGGCCATGCGTAAGAGGGGCATGGGGGGACACTTGCCCCCCCTGAGATTGGCCCTCGCCAGCCAGGGAGTGGGGAGTGACTGCCAGTGCCCCCCTAAGAATGTGGGAGCACTGAGGGAAACACCAGTGGCACTTCTGGGTTTGCTGCCAGCCTCACCCCACATACTCTAGGTTGACTGAGAGCAGTGCAGAGTGAGGTGTGGGCATTTTACTGTGGTGGCAAAGCTCCTGAGCCTTACCACCATAGCACAGCAGCCTGCTTTGCCCACACAGCTCCAGGTCAGCTGGGTGGCATGGGTAGCAAGAGGAAGTTAGATGGAGCCAGGAACTGGTCTGGAGAAAGTCTCTGCATGTCTGGATCTCAGCCTCTTTGGCTTCCCCTTGCCACCACCTACCATTCAATTTAGCAGCAAAGGCAGTGACTTAAAAGCTGGAGGGACCAAGAGTGGTGTTTGGAGGTGCTCTCCCTTGTTGTCCCACAGCCCAGCTGAGCACCAGGGCACTAATTTAAAAGCCCCCCCAAACCCTTTTCCCAGCTGCTA